GTGTGCGCCACACCTCACGCGCGGCGATAAGGGCGCCACTGCCGCAAGTACGTACCTAGAAGCTGGCATCTCCTCGCAACTGAGGTCGATTATTTTCAGCGGACTCCCAAGTCATAACTCAGAAACATCATGAGAGCGAGGGCTTTCTTGCCTTTATCAACTTCAAGCTCATGTCAAAGTGTTGGTCGCGCTGTTTATCACCACGGCCATTCTGGTAACCCATTTGGTCACCAGCCTTTACCTACTCGGCACTTCCGATCATCGACATGTCCGCTAGTGTTGAGGTCACGTACGTTCAGTTTCACTTTTAGGTTTAAGTACTTCTTGGCATTAAACATGATACATTTTGGGAGCTTCTCCAAATAAATGGTAGAATATGCAATCTGCTCTAGTCTGCACGGGTAACTCCAAACCATTCTGCACAGAACTGTATTTTTGCGCCCCGATTGCTTTTCATAAATGTTAACGGGACCTATTTCCGGTGATCATGTTGTACCGCCTTACCAAGATGTTTTCTATTAATTGCACCCAATTAAAAGCTTTGCACAAAGCTGAAATTCCACGTGCATTTGATAAAAGAAGTCAACCTCCTGTACAACAATCTTCGCCCGGTCGATTAAAATTATTCCTGATATCAGGAAAGCATCGAAACTTCATGAGATCGAAATCCGGGGAGAAATCGGGTTTTGGCTATAGGCTAGACCAGCCCCATCCAAAATCAATCTTAAAGTAATAAGTGATTTAAAATTGGCACCTCTGCTCACATACGCACCCTGGTGTGGTCAGCACACCACAGCTGTTCCGTCATCATCAGGGCTTTACGATGCACACAGCTGCTGAGGCCATATGGCGCCGCCTGCCCCTTACCCTGGCAGGAAGAGCGGGCGCCGTGAGAAATCGATCTCCGTATCATACCCGTTCCTCTCGGGAATCCTGGCAGTGTCTCGTCGGCCAGCATATTATATGAATGATGTGGAATGCATCCACAACTGATGCAAACACAGATTGTCCCTGGAGCGTAATAAGCCTTACCATGGTGAGGGACAAACTGCCCACAACACCTGTTTACAACCCCATGCCCCAAACCTTCCGGACTGATGGGCGTAAAATACTTACTGATAAATGTACCATTTATATATATATATATATATATATTATATATATGATATATATATATATATATATATATATATATATATATATATATATAGATATATGTTGTGTGTTTTGTGTGTGTTTTATGTGGTGGTATATATATAGTGATTATATATAATATATATATATTATAACAATATAATATGGGTGTTGTGTGTGTGTTAGTGTGTTGTGTTGATATATATATATACCACCAGAACATAATAACACAACAATAACAACAGTCAAAAACCTGTTCTTTTCAAAACATGGTGACCTTGGGTTTGGTCAAAGGCCACCAAAAGAGGCCGAATTCACCTGGAATTAGTTTGTAGACAACCCATTCTCTGAACCTATGGGGCCGAACGGCACAAAACCATTACCAATCGAAGTGCCATGGTCGATGACCATGCCTGTTCAGAACATGGTAGCCTTGGGTGACGTCAAAGGTCATAAAAACGCCCAAAACCAAGTGGAATAAATTTGTTGACAACTCCATGCTTCGAGACCATGGAACTGATCAGCAATAAACCTATACCAATCGATGCGCCACAGTCAGTAAATAATCGTTTTTCAGAGCATGGTGACCTTGGGTTATGTCAAACACCACCAAAAACAGTCGAATCCACCTGAAATTGATTTGCAGTCAACCTCTCGCTCCGAACATATAGAACCGATCAACACAAAACTTTTACCAACCTAAGCATCATGGTAAATGTCCTAATCTGTCTAGACCACGGTGATCTTGGATAAGGTTAAAGGCTACCAAAAATGCAAGAAAGAAGAAGAAGAAAAAGTAGGTTTGTATACAACCCATGCCTCGAGCCTTTGGGGCTGATCGGCACAAACCCATAACCAATCGATGTGCTACATTCAGTCAATAACCCACCGTTTCCTAAATATGATGATATTTGACCTGATCCAAGGTCGCCATGTCCTGGAAGGGATATCATGTTGACCATGACAAATCGATTGGCTAAGTTTTGTGCCGATCAACCCCCTCGGCTCGGAGCATGGGGTTGTCTGCAAGCTTTCAGGTGGTTCGGCCGTTGTTGGTGGCCTTTGACCGGACCCAAGGTTATCATGTTTTGGCAAAGATAGGATATGACCATGACACATCGATCGGTGAAGGTTTTATGCTGTTCGGTCCCTTAGGCTGGAGCATGGGGTTGCCTGGACTCCTATTTTTCCGATTTTTGGTATTTTTGGTGACTTTTAACCTTACCCAAGAATACCCTGGGAGGAATAAATTATCGATCAATCAGCATCCAATAGTGAGGGTTCGGTGTTGGTTGGTGCCATAGGCTCGGAGCATGGGATCGCCAATGCGTTTTGTCGACCGTTTAGTCCCTCCCCTTGTCATGTGTTTTTAATGAGTTGTTACTGGTGCTTGGGGAAGCAAGAAGCTGTGTCCCCCAACTGTCCCAAGCCCAATTTTTCCCGCAACTCACACTCTTTACGCATTAGCATTCAAAAATACACTTTTCAGGTTAAGCTTCCACTGTGTCACAGACGTGGCAACGCCCATTGCTGTTGGAAACACAGCATGAAATCTTCTGCAACTTTCTCAATCATGTGCATAAGTGACGTACTCTGACGTCATAGGTCAGCATTGCAAGCTGATGGGGATCTCCCTTTTCTAATAGCCTGACATAATAACAAAAACCTTGAAACGATACCGGTGTTATTCGGGGATTTGGGGGGAAGTCCAGAGGGAGGGCATTGCGTTGGGGTGGCGGTCGGGACTGTGTTCGAGCGGCATCAAGCACGCGATTTCAGGCTGGTGTGGTCAGATCTGTGTATTTCTTACAGTAAGTGAAGCCCGTGCGAAGGGTAAGGGCTCAACTTGCAATATCGGCGCCGTTCTCACGCAGTTCTCTGGTTCCCACGAAACACCGGTAGGCGAAATATACGCATTGATATTCTTTGTTTTATTCCACAAGCTGTGCAAGCCTAGTGGAATAGAGGATGCGATGCTTGAACATTCTAGTTGTTTTTTTAGAGGGGTCTGATAGGAAGAGAATGCTTATCTTCTCATTGCTGATCAAACTGCCTAAGATGAAACCAGCTGGAAAATGTGGATGCTCTGGGGTTCTTGTGCCTAGGCACGATATTGCAAAAAATTGAGTTTATGCTGAAGTGTGCAGCATGGCAATGATATGATGGCAAAGTTTGAGGACATTTATGTCATAAACATCAAATCAGAGTGCTCAAAGCTTGGCACACAGTTGCCACCATTTTTAGGGCATAATAAATCGTGAAGGTGGGTAGAGGCAAGAATATGCTAGAAATATTTTCACTGAAAATTTATTTAAGAATATAATGTAAAGTAGCATAGACCGAGTCAGGTGCAGATTAACCAACCCAGTGCCGACTGCTGTGGCATGGACATGTGGATGGCACAGTAGATCAATTTTTTGTGTACTTGCTTAGGCAAATATCTAAATAATGCCCATTTCTTCTGGCTGGCATTGATTGTGCTGTAAAAATGGTATCCTGATCATTGTTGCAACATTACTATAACTATTTCATTAATAACAATTGCATACTCATCTACCATTTGTAGTCTACAAAAACATATCCACTGCACTGGACATGTACCCAACACCAGTGCACTGACTTTTGCATGTGTGCTTCAAACTCAGGCCTGGCCAAAATACACCAAGCTGGTATCATATTTTTTGTGAAAAAATCATATTGGTATTGCCTGAAACTACCTTTGCAACAACAGAACTTCTCAAAGCATTGGCCCCATGCAACTAAGCTTGTGCTGACCATACACCAAATTATGAGAGTTAAAATATATCACATGCATGCACTGAGATTTTTGCAGCAATATCATGTCCATGTTCAGCATACCATTCTTTTTTTGCAGTCTGCAATTAGTTTACATTTCTGTAATGTTTGGATATGTGCCAGCAAGATGTGAGGGCATGAGTGATTTTTGAGGTGTCTGGCATTGTAGCTGCCTCACACATATTGTGGGCATCCTGACCAACATACCTTGCTGACTGACTATGAGAGCTATGCATTTTTGATATTGTTACTTATGGTACTACTGGTGCAGCTACCAGTGAGGTTGTTCCTTCCTGATGTGTTTGGCTAGGCATGTGTGAAATCTGAAAATCATGAGTAACAGATGAAAAGATATGTTTGTGTGATGCAGTTTCCTCCTGATTAGTGCTTACTCAAACTTTAAGGAAGGATGAATTAGGATGCACTTTATAGGTACATATCCCTGTACTCCATAGCTTTTATTCTGCAGGGTTTTCTTGTCTTATTAAGCCCATAAAGATAGCTGAAACATTGGGTGGCTCTGGGTACCCTGCTTTTATAATCACATGCCCTTTGGTGTAGTAATTTACTTTTAGGCATGTAAGTGTTGTCACCCATACTTGGTTTCAGTTCACATTGATTTTTAACTATGCCATGTGGGAGTGGACATACCTGTAATGGAATGTAATCATGCATAGCACAAAGACATAGTGGCATACATATTGAATGTAGTTGTGCTTGGTGTTTGTTTTTTGTAGTAGAGTTCTTGGAGCATATGTTGCATGATTATAATATTTTTAGAAACTGACATTTTTTCATCAGTAAAAAAATCACATGTATCTCTAGCAGTAGCATCAATAACTGGCATTGGTTAAAGTCATTGGAGCCATTCTGCTTCAGTTGGGCTGCTGCTTCCTCTGTCTCCCTTGCCACTGCGCCTGCTGGTCACCTGTGTAACACTTGTGATCTCCATGAGCCCCACTGATCTGCCTGCTATGTGTCGCCGGGCAGCGCCGGGCCGGCCGTCTCCGCCAGTGACCGAACGCCAGCGCCGCCGGCCTGGGCGCCATGTCGGCCGGCCGCCGCTCGGAGGAGGAGCCGGCCGCCGAGCCGCCCCGGCTCAGCTGCCAGCCTCCCAGCGCCGACAGCAGCCCCGACGGCGAGGTGTTCTTCGACACGCGCGACGAGAGGCTGCGCCGCGCCGCCTCGCGCCACGACGGGTGAGCAGCGGCCGCCGGCGGCGAGGCCACCTCCGGCAGCAGGACGTCACGCGCGTACTCCAGCGGAAGACCTGTTGCCAAAATCTTTAGTTGGTTTAAATGGAATTGCTTTCAACTGGAGTCATTATTATGGGGCAGATGCCTTGTCTGGGTTGGTTGTGCATATGTTGGCTTGCACATCAAACAAAGTATTGCTTGATAATTTGGCATGGTTGTACAGCATGGATCTTGCATGATTTTTGGTGGTTTCACCTAAGATGAGATGCACAAAGCATGCTGTAAAAGTGCTACATGCTGTTGGCCTAAGTAGACATAGTATTACATACCTAAATGTAACTGAAGTGCATGCTCCAGCTGTCAGACCATGAAGTGAAGCCCAGCTTGGGTAGGAAAAGAGAAACGACCACTAATCCCATATCTCACCTGCAAAATCGATTCTGCCTCATGTTCTGTAACATTCAGTTGATACGCGATTAGGTTTGAATCCATTGCTCGCCAAACCTTGGTGTTGGGTGTGGACACTATGGAGCCCCAGCATGGTGCACAGGACTGAGCAGGGTCTGCACTCATCCTACTCTCTACAGAGGTGCATGACAGCATGTCCGTGGCATCCATCTTATGCAGGTGTCTGAAGGAGGGTGTAGGCTCAATGGGCAGCCCTAAGAGGCACAGGCTGCGGGCGCGAAGTGTCTCACTCACACAGTTGGTGCGCAGCAGAGAGATGCTCTCATCGGAGGAAAATAAAAAGTTATCATTCATGACCTTTGAGCTTCGTGATGGAGATTAGTCTCCGTGATGTCCAATCGGTTTTCGCCGCAATGATATTCGCCTGTTGTTATGATGAATGCTTTGTAGAGTGGGCACAAATTGCATGACTTCGTGAGATTTCTTGAGGTCCATTGCCTTCCATCTGCAGGTCTAAGCTTGGCCCGGCCAGATCCGTGGAGAATCTTTCTCAGGCGGTATCATCCCCACATCTGCCCGTGCATGAAACCAATGGGTAAGTGCGACGCACTGGTGGCTTGTGTTGTACTATTTTACCATTAATCAGCATGATCTGATAGTGTTTATTGACATCATCAGCCATTTGAAACGCGATTTAGGATGTTGAGGCTTCATCGAGATGCGACAACGAACGCTATGGACCCGCTTTCTCACGGATGCAGGCCTCGGCTTCTCATGCGGTATGATTCGCCAATGGCTCAACTTTTCCGCGCTTTTTCGCAACTTTTCGTCGCCGCGCTCGTGACCCGCGCGGCGACGGCACCGGCCGTGCCACACACCCAGTGCAGCGCGTTTTGCTGTGCGCCGGCCAGGTCGCAGGGCACGGCGCCGCCGCTGCAGCGCTCCAACAGCAGCCACACGCCGAGCGGTCTGCTGGGCCGTGCCGGCGGCGGCGGCCAGCCGGGTCTGAGCCCGGACCGGCCGGCCGGCTCTTCGGACGCCAGCCTCGCCGAGCTGGGCAGGCAGGTGAGCCGCGCAGGCAGCCGCCGCCGCCGCCGCCGCCGCCGCTGCGCCGGCGCCCGCCGGCGTCGCAGGACGGCCGTGGCCGGCAGATGCGGTGACGTATTTCGTAGGAGCGGCCGTTACGTCAGAGGCCGTGCTCTTCGTGGGGCTTTCCGCAAAGTACCGGACCGCGCAGCAAAGCAATGGTGATACACAAGATTATCCTTTCTTCGCATTCCCGAACAACGGCAGACGATCTCCGCGTGACATGCATGGCCATGAGGAGAGCCCTGGGCTTTGGCGGCCTGACTATCTCGCTTTATTGTCAGCTGATAACGTATCGAGTCGCCTCGACACCTTCTGAAATGCAAGCCCACGTCCTGTACAGGATCGAGTGATTTGTCTTCTATCACTGAGTCACACAGGCGTCAGATGCCACTGCTTTGCCGTGTCGCTCTGTGCGCCCTGATCTGTTATCTGCTGTATGCTACGAGTATGCAGACTTCCCATACTATGTGTGTGGGTGCACGTGTGAGTGCATATTCGTGTGCGTGCGTGCGTGCTGATGCCTTTGCTTGTGTCTGTGGATGTGGCTCCGCTGATCCACTAATGTGTCTGTCCACATGCCCGTGCCTGTGCCCGTGCCTTTGCCTCCATCTTTATCTGGTCTGTGCGTCTCCATCCATGTCTGTTCATCTGCCTGAGGTTGTGCCTCTGTCTGAGCCCTTACCTGTGCATGTGCCTGTATTATGTCTGCTCCTCTACCTGAGCTTGTGTCTGCCTGAGTTCGCACCTGTGTGTGCACCTGTATGTGCGCCTGGGCCCGTGCCTGTGTATGTGCCTGTATGTGCGCCTGGGCCCGTGTCTGTGTAAGTGCCTGTATGTGTGTCTGGGCTCGTGCCTGTGTATGTGCCTGTATGCACGCCTGAGTCCGTACCTGTGCAAGTGCTGTGTGCGTGCCTGGGCCCATACCTGTGTATGTACCTGTATGTGCGCCTTGGCACATACCTGTGTATGTGCCTGTATGTGCGCCTGGGCCCGTGGCAGTCGCACCTGCGCTGACCGGCCGCGCGTGCGTCGGTCGGCAGGAGCTGGGCAGTGAGGCGAGCCTGGCGACCCCAGCCCCGACGCGGCCCGAGTCCACCCGCTCCTCCGACTCGGGCCGCAAGGACAGCAAGCGCGCGCGCCGTACGCCATGGTACAGCCTGCTCACCAACACGTACAAGCAGCGCTGCGACGACTTCCGGCGCACGTTCGACGTTCCGCCGGACGAGCGCCTCATTGTCGGTGGGTGGCGCCGCCGCCGCCGCGAGCCCGCGTCCGCCGGTGCCAGCCTGGTGCTGCCGCCCCGGGGCGAGCGCGCGTTCGTCTCCGTTTACCGGGGGTCCTGTGCTGACATGGTCTTGAGTGAAATGATCGTGAAGCTCTTGAGAGACTGTGTTTGGTTGGCTTTTCACTAACATCTGCATTTTAAGGTAGCGATTTTCACGTCGCGTTATGAGCCTGTGCCGAGGGTGTGGCTTAAGCTGACGTTTTGCGCCCCAGACTACTCGTGCGCCCAGGTGGACGTCGGCAAGATGATCTACCACGGCCGACTGTACGTCTCACAGAACTACATCTGCTTCACCTCCAACATCTTCAAGTGGAATGTCGTGAGTGATGAGAAGCGAAGAAGGCATATGTGACCGCGAAACACGACCGTAACACGAAATGATAGTCTGACTTAGAAACATTCCCACATGCGTGCGCGGAAGCATTCGGACACATTCGCGGACGCCCAGGTATGCCTCATACTGCAGGCGCGCCACAAACTGACCACGGGAAATCCAGTCATGCCGACGCTCAACGTGTCGAACCGAGGCCAGTCCTCGCCCGTAGTGTCCGCACACCTCGCGGTGATGACACCCCCCCCCCCCTCGGCCAGGCGACCGCGTCCTGGGACTGAGCGGTGTGTCAGTCGGCTGACGCCGTAAGAGGTCCGTAGTGCTCCGTACACCTCGTGGTGATGGCACCCCTCCCTCAGCCAGGCGGCCGCGTCCTAAGGCTGAGCTGTGCTCGTCAACCAACTCCTTAGGAGGTCCATAGTGCTCCACGCACCTCGCGGTGGTGGTATCTCCCTAGGAGGTCCGAAGTGCTCCGTACACCTCACGGTGATGCACCCCTCTCTCAGCCAGGCGGCCTCATCCTGAGGCTGAGCTGTGTGTCAGTCAGCTGACGCCGTAAGAGGGGCGGCGGCGCCCCGTCTCGACTCGTACCCCCAGCGGCACCCGCCGGCGGTGACCGGGCGGCGCCGGCTCTGTCTGCAGTCTTTCTGCCTGCCGCTGCGGGAAGTGCGCGCCATCACCAAGATGAACGTGCTGGTCTTCCCGTCGGGCATCAACCTGGAGACGGCCACCGAGAAGTACGTGCTGAGCTCGTTCGCCTCGCGCGACCGAGCCTTCGTCAACATCGAGAACATCTGGCGCAACTGTATTGATAAACAGGTGGGGCGGCCGGCGGCCCTGTGCAGTCACAGCGCGCAGCGGCGCAGCGGGTGGGGGCTAGGTTGTTTGCGGGGTGCAGGGAGCTTGTTTCAGGTGCACACGCTATGTGTTGCTCATTATGGCCCTGTTTCATGCGTGTTTTTCGTGCCGTTTTGTCAGGGGCTCCTCCCCATTTTAATTGACTCCACTATTGGAAGGTGGAGATTGGGATTGATGTCACCGTGCAGACTTGAGCCGCAGTACATTGCACCATTGTTGGCTACTGCGCGTCTGGGAAACCAGAGGTACGGGGTTCAATTCCCCGCGGTACCCGCCCTTCCGGCCAGGGTGAGAGGCAGGCGACGCCATATAGCCTCAGCAGCTGAGTGCGTCGTAAAGCCCCCAATGAGACACACATACATTGCACCATTATGAGCGATTGTACTTAGCCGTTTTAGTTTCTTTGTAGGGGACTTATGTATTTGGCAAAGATGCGACCGTTTTCGTGGTTCGCGCCATCATCTTCCTTACTGGCTGTGCGCACCACATCAGCACCGCATCTCCGACCTGTGTGCTAGCTCCTGAATGTCTTGAGCACAACTCCCGCGCCATCTCCCTCAGCTATGGCACCCGTGCCGCTGCTGGTGTGGCTCGTATCAATGCTCTTGCCTTTCTTTTGGTTCATGGTCAAGGACAGGATCCATGGTCAAAGACAAGGATTCATGGTCCCGCGCCATCCCCCTTAGCTATGGCCTCCGTGCCGCTGCTGGTGTGGCTCGTTTCAATGCTCTTGCCTTTCTTTTGAGTCATGGTCAGGGACAGCTCTTGTGCTCTCAGAAGGGGTGAGAAGATCAGTCTTAAACAAGCGTTCTAGAAGAGTTCCCCCAAAACAGTTTTTGTGGACGTGGGGTATCAAGACGGCCATGTTTCACTAATGCTCACTTTAAAATAAAATGGTCATATAACTCGTGGTCATTAATTGAAAAGACTGTCATAGCAAATTTTCGGAGCCCTCAACACCGTTTTCTCTTGAAAACTCATTTACAGAAAGCTGTTTATGTGTCCGCTGGTCACTCGTGCGTGTGCGTGTGCCACACGGGACGGGTCGGGTGTCTCCAGTGTGCGGTCACACTGGAGACGCCCAACCCGTCCCGCCCCGTGTAGGCTGGGCTGTTGAGATGCGTCGTCAGCGCGTTTCACTGACAGCGCGCAGCCTTGTTGATCAGACGGTGGGACTCACCGATCTTCCGTATGCTGGAACGGCTCGTGACGCGCGCCGCATCCTTCTTCTGGTAGCTCCGAATCCCGTGGACATCTAACCGTGCGCGTGGGAGCAGCCCCCAGTCGCGACCCGCATAGCTGCCGGAGATTTTCAGTTGGCGCTTGTGTTTGGCGCCGTTGCCTGGTAACGGGCCTTGTGCTGTGGACCGCTGTGTTTGCCGTGCGCCATGACAACCGCGCTTGTTGGGACTGGCTGCTTAGATCATTAGGCGCCGTGTTGCCCGGCGGGGGGCGGCACGCGCAGTAGCGGTCCAGAGCACCAGGGACGGGTGTTTGGGCGCGCTATCCCTGAGGAAGTGCCTGTAGCGTCGCCCACAGTCGGACAGGACGGCCTGCGTGCGACACAGCTGTCTGGTAGTGACGGCTCGAGCGATGCCAGCCGTTGCTGACTGGTGCTGCGGACGTGCCAGCGCCGCCGGACGGTAGCGGTGATAACGCCCGCTGCCGTTGACAGGTGCTGTCGGCCTCGCAGCTCTGGCAGATGGTGCATGAGCTGTACGGCTCGGAGCTCGGTCTGACCAGCGACGACGACGACTACGTCGACCCCAGTGCCGAGGACGACTCCTCCAACAAGGCGCGCGTGCGCAAGGCGGCCAGGGTGAGTGCCGCGCGCCGCGCCGGCCCCGGCCGACCGGCGCCGCTCAAGCCATTAGGTGTCGTTGCCTGGCCCAGCCGAGGCGCCCCGGTTGACCTGGGAGCCCGTCTCTCGATATATTGTCCTGGTTGGTACCGGAGTCCGTTCCTCGATGTATTGTCCAGGGAGCTACCGGAGTCCGTCTCTCGATGTGTTGTTTTCGTGGGAGCTACCGGAGCCCGTCCCTCGATGTGTTGTTTTCCTGGGAGCTACCGGAGCCGGTCTCCCGATGTGCCGTTGGTATGAAGAGAATGGCTAGGGTAAAGTGCTCCGGCGCCGTGCCTGTGCCCACCCAGTCTGCGCATTGAACACGGGATTTGGGTGCCCGCCAAGTGGCATATTGGGGAATCATTATTGCTTCACTAGTTAGGAAAGATGACTTCGAGAGCAGGGTCCTTACTGAGTAAGGCATGGTGCTAAGACCCCGATCGTGTCACCCAGTGAAGCAATGCAGCTGTAGCGGTTCATGCACGGCCGGCGCTGTTGTGTGGTGTCGCATCCTCGGTCGACCCCGTCCCTCGCAGTGCCGGGATGCAGGGAGAGGCCTGAGGTGGTGCGGTATAGAACCAACGCCAAGCCCCCGCCGAAGTGTTACCTCCCCGTATTGAAGGTGGCGCTCGTCCGTGGTTGGACGGTGCTAGTCCCCGGTACGGCTCGAGCTCGACGCTTCGCCAGGGGCGGGTGTGAGCCGCCCTGTCAGGTCACATGGACCGAGGACTTGCGTGATGCATCCACGTTATGCTGATATTCTCACAGAATGTCGGTGGGCTATTTTGGTCGCGCAAAACGCGCGTTTTGTTTTTAATTCCCCGCAGTCGCGCCAAACCCGCAACAAACGGGTTTAATTCCCCGCAGTCGCCGCCACTTCTGCCAGGATGAAGGGCAGGCCACGCCGTAGAGTCCCAACAGCTTTGAGTGCGTCGTAAAGCCCCAATCACAATCGTTAATATATTCTGCACCGGTCGTTCTCGCGGACAGCCACTTGGCGCTAGTGTGTTTCGACGGCATGTTTACGACTGGGACACAGTATGGCTGGCAGCGCCGTACACCATCAGTCTGGCCATGCGCTGCAGCTGTGAACTGGCTGGCCAGTGAGTGGAGTGCCTTAGATTCAACGTTCATTGATATTTGTGGCGTGTTAGAGAGGTTTGTCACGTCAAAAAGGTTTCCGAGTTTGTTTTTTCCAGAACAAGCAGAAAATTGTCGCTTGTCGACACGGCTTTAATAACGAGGGGCGGGGTTGTCCCTCCTTGCTCCGCCACGCCTTCCTTATCATGCGATGCTCCCAGACAGTGGCGCACGCAGGGAGAAGGCGCGGGAGCACGTCCCCGCCCCCTCCCCACTCGGGTTTTTAGGGGTCTGGCCCCCTCGGGACCGAGTTTGGGGTCCCGGATTGCTGGCTGGAGGTCGTATTGACGGCCCCGGGCGGCAGGGTCGAGTCGCCAAATGTCAGTCAGAGGGCCCTTTGCGCCCATTGAAGCTGCCTGTCGGCCATGCACCACCAGTACCGAACAGTCGGCGACGAGTCAGTCTGGGCCTGGGGCCCATTTCCCAAGCAGGCACAGGGCCGTGGCCCGCGACTCGCATTGGTCGGGGACCCTGAAACAATGAGGGGCCCTTGCGTCTGGCAGAGGCCCCGAGTCCCGACTCCCTGAGTCCTAGGAGAATCCTAAACCTCCGTCATTATATCCAGTCCGCTGTACGGCATTCGCCGGCCGTGGGGTCCGGGGTGGCACCAACCCTGTAGAAATATTGCAGCGTAAGGAATCAGCAGTAAGCAAAATTAACGTTATCATTTCAATGAGAAAGCGATGCCGCCCGGTGCGTGATTAACCCACAACAGACAAACAGACCGAACGTATTTAAACCACCGAAGACTTACGACGTGGCGTGTCGGGAGCAAGATAAACACGAACGTAGCCAAAAGTAAGCCACCTTCACGCAACTGGCAATAGCGTACGGACAATCTTCCACGGCGTTGCGACGTCTCCTGTGTATATCCCTAGCCTTGCTTTGTTGGCGTTACGGGTGTCATAACATATGGCCATAATACATGCTCGCATAGCCCCTTCCCACAAGCTCTATGCGGTTTTCGTTGCAGACCTCCTCGCTTTGGGCGCAGCCAACTTCAATTGTCATGTCGTGTTCTGCTGATACTCAGGTTTGCGCATGCGTGGTGACCTCGACCGGAGGTGCAATGAGACGGAGCGGTATGGGCCTTCCTGGCCGCGGGTGTGACGCTCGGCCTGACCCATCTCTGACGGATCCTCTCGCCTGGCGAAGCCGCATACTCCGCGGTATGGGGTATGCCGACATATCACATGGTATGCCTTACTGTGGGACGCCCTGTAATCACATGGTATGTCCCATTGTGGGACGCTCTGTAATCACATCGTATGCCCCATTGTGGGACGCCCTGTAATGTAGCGAGGCTCGACTAGGGTGGGATCGCCCACGCGCACGCGTGTTTGCGGACTGAACTCTGAGTAGACCAGTCAGTTTGCGGCTGCTATGTAGACAGAGACGCACAGGTATAGTCATGCGTAGGCAGCACCTGCAGACCACAGAGCGCTTACGGGATGGCTGCCACGCCCTAGCCGTTGGAATGGTGTACGACTCTGACGGGGTAGCCGTCGAGGAAACCCATCATTCCGACGGACGGAGGGCGGTGACGTCACCGCTTCGCCCCGGACGGAAGAAGGTGACGTCACTGCTGCGTCTTGGACGGAGAGCGGTGACGTCAGTGCTTCGCTTCGGACGGAGCATGAAACGTCACCGCTTCACCTCGGGCGGAAGACGATGACGCCACTGCTGCGCCTCGGACGGAGGGCGGTGACGCCACCGCTTCGCCTCGGACGGAGGGCGGTGACGCCACCGCTTCGCCCCGAACGGAGGACGGTGACGCCACTGCTGCGCCTTGGAGGGAGGGCGGTGACGCCACTGCTTCGCCTCGGACGGAGGGCGGTGACGCCACTGCTGCGCCTCGGACGGAGAGCGGTGACGCCACCGCTTCGCCTCGGACGGAGGGCGGTGACGCCACCGCTTCGCCTCGAACAGAGGGCGGTGAGGCCACCGCTTCGCCTCGAACGGAGGGCGGTGACGTCACCGTTTCGCCTCGGATTCGGATTGGCCTGGCTCAGTGGAGGGATTCACTCGGCCTGTCTACCTGTGCCCGGAGTTGGCCGCACTGGGGAGGCCGCTGTTTACGGCCTCGTGCCGCCCGCCGGCGGTATGACGGCCAGCTCAGCGATGTGATGGAGACTATAGCCCGCTGTGAGGCAGACCTGGACTAGATCAGATGAGGCGGGGGCGAGGCTGCTCCAGGCGTGTTGGGAGCCCTCAGTAGCGACAGTCCCTCAGAGGGCGCCGTCCTTCGGTGGCGGCCGTCCCTTAATGACGGCCGTCCCTCATTGGAGCAGCTTTCAGTGACGGCCGTCCCTCAGTGACGACCGTCCCTCAGTGACGACCGTCCCTCAGTGGCAAACTCACTCAGTGGCGAACGTCACTCAGTGGCGACCGTCCCTCAGTGGCGACCGTCCCTCAGTGGCGACCGGCCCGTCAGTGGCAGCCCAGGATCACGTCCCTCAGTGGCGACGGCCCTCAGTGGGCGCCGGCCCTCAGTGGCGACCGTCCCTCAGTGACGGACCGTCCCTCAGTGGCGACCGCCCTCAGTGACGACCGTCCCTCAGTGGCGACCGGCCCTCAGTGACGACCGTCCCTCAGTGGCGACGTCCCTCAGTGACAACCGTCCCTCAGTGGTGACCGTCCTCAGTGGCGACCGGCCCTCAGTGGCGACCGGCCCTCAGTGGCACCCCCACGGTGGTGTGTGCTGCGCGGCGCGCCCGTCCGTGGCGCCGGCCGGCCGCGTCATCGGCGCCACCAGTGGGCGCCGGCGGCCGCCAGTTGCAGGACGCGCCGGCGGGCGCGCGCCGCCCCCGAGGGCGGGCCGTCGCCGCTCCAGATGATGCGCCGTAGTCGTCGGGGTCAGTAATGTACCAGTCGGCAGGGGCCAGTCAGTCTCGTACAGTCGGCGGGGGCCAGTCAGTCTCTGTACAGTCGGCAGGGGCCAGTCAGTCTCTGTACCAGTCGGCAGGGGTCAGTCAGTCTCTGTGCCAGTCGGCAGGGGTCAGTCAGTCTCTGTACCAGTCGGCGGGGGCCAGTCAGTCTCTGTACCAGTCGGCGGGGGCCAGTCAGTCTCTGTACCAGTCGGCAGGGGATCAGTCAGTCTTAACACTGGTGTCTGGGGGTCTCAGGGCCAGTCTCTGCGCCGGTCGGCAGGCACCGGTGCGTTGCGACCTGTGCTGCGGTGCCGCATGCGCGTCCTGGTGCCTGACGCGCTGCCTCTTATGTGGGTGATGCTGCTGCGCGTTATGGTGGCGTCGATGTTCACGCTGCGTCTACGTATTCCAATTTGTTTGGCTTGTCCTTTAGTCCAGCTAACATCACTCGTGTGGACTGGAGTGTAAACAAAGTGTTGGGAGGGTCACGCCGTTGTATGCGCCCGTGTCAACTCCGGCAGAGTTTGCTCATTCATATTCGTCACAGAGTACGAATATGACCGAGCGGAGGGTATCCAACGCCGTTGGTCCTTTCGGCGGCCGCTTTGCGTCGAGTTGTCACCGTGGCGCGGCCGACGTGGCATGGCGTGTGCCGAGGCAGTTGGGCTGTGTCCGTTCTCGCTCCGTCGGACGCGGTTCGGGGCTACGAAGTCCGCGCGGTCAAACTGAAGAGCATGAGCTCAGCGGCGGTCCACACTGACCGAGCATGACGCGACGGCCACCACTGACGAGCATGAGCCCTGCGACGGCCTACTATATAGCGCGAGCGTCGCGGCGGTACACTGACTGCGCGAGCGTCGCGGCGGGCCATTACTGACCAATCAGGAGCCCCTTCCAGCGGCGGCCACGCTGACCAAGCAGGAGCATCGCGGCGGCCACCACTGACAAGCCAGGAGCTCGCGGCGG